CTTCTACTCCTTTTTCAAACAGATATGCTATCCTTTGGCTCTCAATTTCGTTGTCGACGTCCAATCTTTGTCGTACGGCGTTCCCAACTTCATTTTCGATGGCAAAAGCTCGGCTTTGAGTCTCTACATTTCTATCAAATTCTTCGCTTGGGGGAGGTATGAACACTTTTGCCTGATGCTTTTTGTAACTCCCAGCAGCATGTACACTATGAGGAGGAGGCGAACCTTGAGACTTTGATCGATGATGTGCACTGCTCTTCACGACATTGAGAATACTGAATTTTGAGATGCCTAGCGCAGTTGGCGATGGGACGACCTTCAAAGGAACCAACTTTGGCTGTGTTTCTACACCTGTCCCGGCTTTTTCCAGCGCAGCGGTCGCAACAACGGTACTTATCATCTTAATAACTCGGTTTTTCATTCTCTCTGCTCTATCCTTCTCCAATTTTTTATTTTCTGCATTCAGCATTTGTTCTCGAGCCTTTTCTCGGGCATCAAGAACCAGCTCTATGTCGACAGGTTTCCTATCCCAGTTGTGATGTCTGAAACAATGTTAGTTTTGAAGCATCAAATGCGTTGTCTTGATAAAATTTGCTGCAATTTGCTACAAAAGTGCTAAGTGAGCAGTTATGATGATGTCTGGGTTTTCTGACGTGAGCCTGGTTTTCAATGATTGAATTGTTCTGGGCCGTTCTAATTCTCTTATTTTCTATTTGTAGTATTAAATGCAATTGAGTGAAGCACAACGCCATTCAAATCAAGATCAAATGAGCGTACTCAATTCAAAGATCGACGATACACTCGAGGTAGTTGCAGTCAATAAGCTAATTGCTTTTCTTATTAAACATTCATTAAATGTAGAAACTTTTCAGCCACCATTTTCTTAAATAAATAACAGTAAAACAAGTTTTGTGCAATATTATGCTTTATTGCAAAGTGCTACCATTTTTTTGTGGAGGAAACGCGAAGGCCTCGGCCATAATTCGCCTTCCATTTGTTTACTCCAAGAGTGATTTTTACAAAAAGGGACTTTAGAAATGAACCTCTACGTTGCAGATCTCGTTTAATCAAACTTACTTTGCTCTATGTACATCCATTGGGGAACGAGCGGTCATATTTGATTCTGTGGTTATTTTCAATCTGCTGGCTGGAGATTTGTGTCTGAAAAAAGCCTCATAGCAGGTTATCTTTTCTTCGCTGTATACCAGAGTGTAAACATCAACACTGTGCACAGCGACGATGACATGATGAACTGCAGTATAGAATGAATTTTTATTTGAAGTCCTCTAGCATAGTTGTTTCAAGACAGTTTGTTGTAGCA